TTGGCTTGCCATACCGGAGCACGGCCGCAGCAGTGGAATTGCTCTGATTGACCACAACAGGACCGATTTTGCTCCGGCGTTCGTGTCGGAGCGGAGCGGAGGTAGTGGAATTTGGGGGTGAAGGGATCACAATTCGTCCACTTTTGAGCATGTTTGGTTATTTAACGGCGTCTAAACCGCCGTCTTTAAACAAACGTGACATCACAGAGGAGCTACTCATTCTAGTCCAGTGACTCTTGGTGGTGACGTGTGAGCTGATTCACCTGGTAAATAACTTTTACATAAATACATTTTCTTTGGTAACAAAAGTGAATTAACTAATAACTTGCATTCTTGTAGGACACTACGCGAAATATGGATGCTACACCATGAGGCAGGCACACGTGGAGATTAGGAGCATATATGGTGAGCAACACAACACATTAATATTAATATTATTGTTCACTGTCCTGGATTTCTTTCTGCATCGCATCATTAGCCTGGCTGACCACCACTGCAGGACACCTGACACATCCTTAAGCACCGGTTTCAGGAACTAGAAGTTTCTGAGGTGACGACTGCAGGAACCACAACTCCACATACAGCACCAACACGTTACAGCCAAGTGCTCATTCTGCAGACCGTTGAGGTACAGCGTACACTCAGAGTGAGCAAAGCTGCAGAAAATACCACACACACACACCTGCCTGCCCTGGATGACATCTTCACGACTCGCTGCCTTCAGAATAACCAGAAACATCCAAAAGGACTCAACCCACCCTGCCAAACATCTCTTTAAACTTCTTCCATCTGGCAAAATGATCCAGGACAATAAAAACACACCAGCTTTTATACAGGAGCCATGACTGACCTGAATACTGATGCTAGGAGGTCACTAACAGTGATTCTGTGGGACAATCAGTGCTCTACAGCACCTTTACATTTAGCTAGCTAATCCTGATACCTCAACATGTGACTGTTTACCTGTATTTACCTTTAGAGTAGACTGTCTTATTACCGAGTTTCCTTTTATACTCATATCTGTGCACCTTAAACTGACTGAGTTCCCAAAAGATGTGTGTGTGTGTGTGTGTGTGTGTGTGTGTGTGTGTGTGTGTGTGTGTGTGTGAGATATCAATTTTAGCCTTGTTTATTTATACTTTATTTAACCAGGAAGGTCCCATTGAGATTAAAAGCTCATTTTCAAGGGATTGCTGGACAAGAGGCTGAAAACATCACTGTTATAATAGTTTCAGCTACACAGACATGATATTTACAACATTACAGAAGGCAGTTACAACACAGGGAATCTGTCTCAAGGGCTCTGTCTGGTTTTAAATTGTCCTTATATGTTTCTACATCCTTATGAGCTGCCTTTAGTGAGTGCAAAGACAGCTTTGTTGTACTCCTGTGCAATGAAACAATCTTTTATCTTGAATTTCTGAAAATATCCGATGGGGGCGAATTGTGTGATCCGAGCCGCTTGCCATACATGGCCTGCCGCGCCGCCATCGCGCTCCCATCCGCCCTGCCGCGCCGCTACCGCGCTCCCCTCTGCTCTGAAAGCGCCGCCATCGCGTTCCCATCCGCCCTGCCGCGCCGGAGCCGCGCTCCCATGCGCCCTGCCGCGCCGCCACCGCGTTCCACTCCACCGCTTCCGCCCTACTGCTCCACCGAGGTGAACCCTGGAGGACTCTTCCTCCTCCGGATGTGCGGTCCTGAGCGGTGCTGTAGCTCTTCTCCGGTCCAGCTCGCTCGGGTCATGTGACTCTCCCTCGGCGTGTCCAACAGACAGAGCAACAAACAGAGGAAGAATCGCGCAGTCTGAAAATAAGTTTTAAGGATAACTAACTTTTCATCATTATGACCCTGCGAGACGAGCTCTTAAAGCCGATTTGGCACGCGTTTACAGCGCTGGACGTGGATAAGAGTGGAAAAGTCTCAAAATCTCAGTTGAAGGTAGGATTCTCCAGTTTCCTTCATTTTCCCTCTTCCTGTATGAATATTTTAGCTTTTTATCAGTGGGTGTCTCTCCTCCCCTTCTGCCTTGTTTTTTATTCTGAACGCATTTCTCCTTGTGCTGAAACACAGGGCGCCTCTGTCCGTGTTCAGCAGACGCACCTGCTGCTGAGGAAGACAGCCTACACGGAGATCATCCATGTTAGATGAGTTAGTCTTCCTTTAGTTGGAGAATCCCAACCAAACCAAAGGAAATGTGTCTCTACACTATCACACCCAGCTGAGTGCCAGCCAGGCATTGTTCAGAGCTTCAGTAAAAACCAGCAGCAAAGGTCAAGTCTGAGTTCAGCTGGCAGAGATTCCGAGGACAAATGGATTGTTGTTTCTTCACAAAAAAGAGCCTCAAAGTCCCAGAATGCATTTCAGCTCCAACACAGTTGCTAAAAGACGTCATGCAGCTTTTTCTCAAACTTTAAAGGTTTTCTTCCATTTTTGTTTTGCTGATGCTAGTGTAGACTTAGCTGGACTTCTTGTTTTGATTCTCAAAAATGCGTGGCTTCTCACCACAGGTGTTTGTATTTTAACAATACAGCAGCATCACCTGAATAAACTACAGTATAATTGTTATTAAACGTGCATTATGTGAGATTATAGTGAGAATTTTGCAGTGAGAAAATCCCAAGAGTCTAATGTTTCAGTCATTTCACAAGAAAGGTTCTACTGAAACATACACTGAACAAAAATTTAAACGCAACTCTTGGTTTTGCTCCCATTTGTCATGAGCTGAACTCAGACTTCTGAAACTTTTTCTACACACACAAAACACCCATGACTCTGAAACATTGTTCTGAAACCTGTCTACATGTGTGTTAGTGAGCACTTTTCCTTTACCAAGATAATCCATCCACCTCACAGGTGTGGCATGTCAAGGGGCTGATTAGACAGCAGGAATAATGTACAGGTGTGCCTTAGACTGCCCACAATAAAAGGCCACCCTGACATGTGCAGTTTGATCAAATAGCACAATGCCACAGATGTGCAACCTTTGAGGGAGCGTGCATTTGGCATGCTGAATGCAGTAATGTCTACCAGAGCTGTTGCCCGTGAAATTAATATTCATTTCTCTACCATAAGCCGTCTCCAAAGGTGTTTCAGAGAATTTGGCAGTACATTCAACCGGCCTTACAACCGCAGACCACGTTGTGACCACACCAGCCCAGGATCTTCATATCCAGCATGTTCACCTCCAGGATCGCCTGCGACCAGCCACCCGGACAGCTGCGGGAACAGTCGATTTGCATAACCAGAGAATTTCTGCATAAACTGTCAGAAACCGTCTCAGAGAAGCTCATCTGCATGCTCGTCGTCTTCATCGGGGACCTGACTGCAGTCCTTCATCGTAACCGACTTGAGTGGGCAAACACTCATATTCGATGGCGTTTGGCACGTTGGAGAGGTGTTCTGTTCACAGATGAGTCCCGGTTTTCACTGTTTAGGGCAGATGGCAGCGTGTTTGGCACTGTGTGCGTGAGCAGTTTGCTGATGTCAACGATGTGGAACGAGTGGTGGCCCATGGTGGCGCTGGGGTACTGGTATGGACAACGAACACAGGTGCATTTTATTGATGGCATTTTGAATGCACAGAGGTAGCGTGACGAGATCCTGAGGCCCATTGTAGTGGCATTCATCCACGACCACCACCTCATGTTGCAGCGTGATAACACACGGCCCCATATTGCAAGGATCTGTGCACGATTCCTGTAAGCTGAAAACATCCCAGTTCTTGCATGGCCAGCATACTCACCAGACTTGTCACCTATTGAGCGTGTTTGGGATGCTCTGGATCGGCGTATATGACAGCGTGTTCCAGTTCCTGCTAATATTCAACAACTTCACACAGCTATTGAAGAGGAGTAGACCAACGTTCCACAGACCACAATCCACAACCTGATCAACTCGAGAAGCCGTTTCCAAACTAACGCCGTTCCTGAGCCGATACCATCTTTGTCCTTTTTCTCTGTAGCTCTGGTGCTGAGTCTGCCCGACATCTTTCTACAGACAGAGTGCTGTCACTGGCCCGACCGAAAATTGTAAAAAATTGTAGACCTGCTGACGACAAGGGAGCATGGCTAGACCGACCTGAAGAGCTAAATCACTTGCTGCTGTGGTTAGTCTAGATTTCTAGGTTAAAATTCACCAGTAGAAATAAAACAAAAACAAACGACTCATGGGATCTGAGTTTATGTTCCGAACAGCTACTCACACTGTGAACATTTCAGCTTGATCTAATCAGATGAAAGGTTCTTATTCTGTTCATGTTTTAGATCAAGTTCCTCTACTGCCGTCTGACAGTGATGGATGGGCCTTTTGCTCTGTTTCCAGGTGCTTTCTCATAACTTATGTACGGTCTTAAAGATCCCGCATGACCCGGTGGCGCTGGAGGAGCACTTCAAAGATGACGATGAGGGTCCAGTCTCTAACCAAGGATACATGCCGTACCTCAACAAGTTCATCCTGGATAAGGTCAGTGTGTGACGCTATAGACCCAACCGGCCCAGGGTCCTCTTTGGTTTACTGGGTTTTGTAATGTGTGTGTGTGTGTGTGTGTGCGTGCGTGCGTGTGCATGTGTGTGTGTGTGTGTGTGCGTGTGCATGTGTGTGTGTGTGTAATGCTGCATTACTGCATGCATTTGGGTACTGGCGATGCCGCTGAGTAGAGTTCTGCTCAAAACCAGATCAATATCTGATTAAGATGTCGATTCTCTCCACTGGGCTATCTTCAGCTGCGACACATTTTTATCATCATCATCATCAAGTCCTTTACCCATGGCTGTCCATCAAACATTGCAAACAGGAAACCACAGCCATCCCATCATGTGACCTCTTTGGCCTGAAAGTGAATCTTTAGATGTTGATCAGAACCGGAAAATGACAGTTTTTCCCCAAATGTATCGTTCAGGAGGTATACCATGTTGACGAGGCGTAGATACACCCTCAAAACCATCTAAACATCTGAAGGAAATTCATGATATCTACCAGAATAAGACAAGTTGGTTTGCCTCCTCGTTCCCCCTCAAAACGTATTTGTCTTTCATGACATTCTGTCCTCAAACACGAAAACGAGTTTCTTTTCTTGTCGGTCTCTTGCAGGAAAAGTTTTCTTGCACATTTTTAAAGATGAGGTGTTTTGTCTTGTAGCCTAACCACTTGGGTGGCCTGTATTTGTGTAGCGCCTTCTGGGCGCTCTACCTCCTGACCACTTAGATATAACTGAAGCAGCTTCTGAATGCAAACGTGTTGCTCCAACCCTCACAGCTCAGCTCCTTTTGAGTGTGCTGCTGCGTGACCCAGACAAATAACATTTTATCTGGTGTGAAAGTAGGATCAGACGCCACTGTCACTTGGTGCGCTGTTGTGTGTGTACGTAATGTTGTTACTCTCATTAGGAAAGGTGCAGTCAGCGGCCCACCTTAGTACCAGGCAGGACCTCCCTCTGTACTTCAGAACTACTGTAGAATGTCATCATGACATTGATCCAAAAAATGTTAGAAATGGCGCATTACTGCGTCAGCTCCATCCACCATGAGAACCTCCTGTTCACCACATCTCAAAGATTCTGGACTGGACTGAGATCTGGTGACTGTGGAGGCCATTGGAGTCCAGTGAACTCATGGTCATGTTCTGGAAGCCTGTTAGAGATGATCTGAGCTTTGTGAGATGGTGCATGATCCTGCTGGAAGTAGCGTCAGAAGATGTGTCCATGTGGTCGTAAAGGGATAGATGTGGTCAGCAGTGATACTCAAATAGGCTGTGGTGTTTAAACCAGAACAAGGCAATAGCTGTCACGATGGGAGGGAAGGGAAGAAGAGCAGATCCTTCAGGCAGGTAAATCACCCCAGGCAAGACAGCAATGGACATGTGGTTCCTCTTAATGGTCAGGAGTGCAGACAGGACAGGGTAGACCGGTGTGAGGACAAACTCACAAGCAACACACAAGGCTTATATACACACTGGCATGGGTAACCAGGCAACAAGAGGCAGGTGGACACAATTAAGGTAAAACCCGAGGCACAGGGAAGTTCCACTGTAATAACATCTTCTGACACCATTACACCAGCAGCAGCATTATTAGGAACACCTGTTCAACTTCTCCTTAATGCAGTTATCTAATCAACCAATCACATGGCAGTTGCTTCAATGCCTGAGGGGTGTGGTCCTGGTCAAGACCATCTGAACTCCAAACTGAATGTCAGAATTAGAAAGAAAGGTGATTCAAGCAGTTTTGAGCGTGGCATGGTTGTTGGTGCCAGATGGGCCGGTCTGAATATTTCACAATCTGCTCAGTTACTGGGATTTTCACCCACAACCATTTCTAGGGTTTACAAAGAATGGTGTGAAAAGGGAAAATCATCCAGTATGCAGCAGTCCTGTGGGCCAAAATGCCTTGTTGATGCTAGAGGTCAGAGGAGAATGGGCCGACTGATTCAAGCTGATAGAAGAGCCTAACCCTAACCCCCAAATTCCACTACCTCCGCTCCGCTCCGACACGAACGCCGGAGCAAAATCGGTCCCGTTGTAGTCAATCAGAGCTATTCCACTACTCCGGCCGTGCTCCGGCAGTGCGGCGCCGTGCGCCGCCCTCTGTTCCGGCGTCCGGCAAAAATAGAATCGATCCTATTTTCGCCGGACGCCGGAGCACCTCCGCAGTCAATGGACAGAAATCACAACGGCCCAACAGGAAAAGGAGCAAGCACAACTTCCGTTTTTCACAATAAATCGATAAACAAAAGGCGTTTTTTGTTTCATATGCACAGGTTTAACAACTTTTAACAACTATCAATGGCGGCTGAACTTTAAATGCACAAAAATAAGCCATAAATACAGTTTCCACTATCAAAGTAGTCACACTTTGTTGATCCAAACACTGCTGATCTCTACACAAATGATGGGCAGATTAAACAGTTCATGTCGATGCTTCTCCCACACAACGAGTGTTTGGATCTAACTTCCGCGTTTATTGCTCGGACTGTATCGCAAGATCTTGAAAATCCCGCGCACGCCTGTTTGCCCACCTCAGGTCTCCGCCCCGGAGCGGAGCCGTTGTAGAGCGGGTACCAGTAAAAATTGAGTTTGGAAGCGAGCGGCTGCGGAAGGCGGGGGCGGACCGCAGCGGAGCGGAGGTAGTGGAATTTGGGGGTAACCCTCGTTACAGCCGAGGAATGCAGCAAAGCATTTGTGAACCCACAACACGCCCAACCTTGAGGTGGATGGGTTACAGCAGCAGAAGACCCCACCGGGTTCCACTCGTCTCCACTACAAACAGGAGAAAGAGGCTACAATTTGCACCAGCTCACCAAAACTGGACAGTTGAAGACTAGAAAAACGTTGCCTGGTCTGACGAGTCTCCATTTCTGTAGAGACATTAATGGTAGAGTCAGATTTTGGTGTAAACAGAATGAGAACATGGATCCAGCATGACTTGCTACTGTGTGCAGGCTGCTGGTGGTGGTGGTGTCATGGTGTGGAGGATATTTTCTTGGCACACTTTAGGCCCCTTAGTGCCAATCGGGCATCATTTAAATGCCACGGGCTAGCTGAGCATTGTTTCTGACCATGTCCATCCCTTCATGACCACCATGTACCCATCCTCTGATGGCTACTTCCAGCAGGATAATGCACCATGTCATAAAGCTCCTGTCATTTCTAACTGGTTCCTTGAACATGACGATGAGTTCACTGTACTACAACGGCCCCCACGGTCACCAGATCTCAACCCCATAGAGCTTCTTTGGGATGTGGCAGAACGGGAGCTTCGTGCCCTGGATGTACATCCCACACATCTCCATCAGCTGCAAGATGCTATACTATCAGTAAGGGCCAACATTTCTAAAGATGCTTTCAGCACCTTGTTGAATCAATGTCACGCAGAATTAAGGCAGTTCTGAAGGCAAAAGAGGGTCAAACACCGTCTTAGTGTGTTGTTCCTAATAATCCTTTAGGTGTGTGTAAGTCAGGATAGATCCATGCTCCAATGCTGGTGACACCAAATTCTGACCTGACCATCTGAGTGTTGCAGCTAAAATCCAGACTCATCAGACCAGGAAAGGTTTTCCAGTCTCTGCTGATGATCCCCTGTGAACTGTAGCCTCTGTTTCCTGTTGTAGCTGACAGAGAGACACCTGGCGTGGTCTTCTGCTGCTGGAGTCCATCTGGAGCAGCTGGTGTGGTTCAGAGAAGCTGTACCACATGTACTTTGGTTGGAACCACGTCTTTTATCACATCATTACGCATATTCTTCACACAAACAGTTATACTGTTATTATGTGTGTGGTGTGCCACAGCTGTGATGTCACTTGGAAATGTTTAATAATGCAGGAAATCTGAGTTTAGGCCACTAAAAATGTCTTCCTGAGGGGAAGTCCCACTTCTGTGTCTTACTGAATACTACTGTCCTGTCCCTATAATCACACGTCCACCTTTGTGCTCCTTGTTCTGATGCTAACTGGTAACAGTAATAGTGTGTACTTTTGGACACGTTTTCTTTGAATCACTTGTTTTAGTTTCATTTCAACGGGCTGCCGGAGGACCTCAGGTCCAAAGGGAACATCCAGGCTTTTAAGAATAGGCTCAAGACCCACCTTTTTAGCTTAGCTTTTAACTGATCACTATTTATCTATAAGTACATATTTATCTCTTTTATTTTTTTTTATCATTTTATCTACATCTAAGTTTTTTTACATGATTATGTTTTCTTTTACTATCTTTATAATCACTTTTTATCAGTTACTTTTTATCATTATTAGCTTTTATTATTTTATATGTTATATATCTTAAATCCTCCAGTGTTTCCTCTGCAGAGCCCTCTGCCTTGTGGCCGGTGGTCAGGGGCGGCGGCGGCCGGGGCGCTCCCCGGGTAGTGCCCGGGCACTGGTGGGGGTTTCTGCCCTACGCCACTGGGCGTCATGGGCCGGTGTCTTGGCTGCTGCCGTGGATCTGTTGCTGCCAGGGCAGATGGCTCCGCTGATGATGTGTCGTTCATTACCTGACCCATCTGAACTCAGCCTATTGTTTACTCTGGTGTTCACGAGTGTGTGTGTGTGCGTGTGCATGGACGAGTGTGCGGGTGATTGTATGTCCACTTTTGGAAGTTGGGTGCGGGAGGGGAACTGTCATTTTTAATTGTTTTATACTTGGGGAGGGGGGCTGGGATGGGAATGTGGGATCTATGGGGCCATTTTAATCTGTAAAGCACTTTGAGTTGCATTTTTTTGTATGAAAAGTGCTATATAAATAAAGTTGATTTGATTTGATTCAAGCAGCACATTAGCACCAATAACAACCGTCACCCCCCAGTAGGAAGTTGCTGAGATACGATGCGGTGGTGCAGGTCGACGGTAATTCTTATAGTCTAAAATCTGCAGTTTTGTGTACTCAAAGCCTCACATGCGCTTCCATCAAGTGCACTTCACACAGAACTCGGCTCGTTAAACCCTGTCCCACTGTGATGATGTCATCACGAACCA